ATATAAGAATGTTATATAATTGTGCATGTGGTGGCACAAAAATTAGCTACAAATTTCATTTTCATAATAAAAGTATAGTATGTATGTGTGTATATATATATTTTGTATGTGCATTTCATGTAATTTTATATAGATCTGTTCGAACTATTATAATTTTACAAAAATATGTGCGTAATGAATAATAAAATACAACAGTTACAAATAAATCTTAAAAAATATGATGAGAACTCCAAATGAGGCACGTATTTTAATTTTTAAAATTAATTTATTTGAAGAAACCAACTGTAAACTTTAAACTTTGGTTACTAGTGTGCAAATTTTCAATAAAGTCAAAAATAACCAATTTGAGCCCAAATAAAAATACAGTCTTACAATAATCATAAATTCATATTAAATTATATAAAAGAATTTTAATTGGAGGAATCGCGAAGATTTACCCTTCTTTATGTATTATAGTTTTGTTATTTGAAATTTAATTGACACTTATTTATATCAATATCACGTATTTATTTAAAACTTATAAACAAGACTCTATCAAGTTTAATCGAGTCAAATGACCTTTAATAACTCTAAACTATTAAAAGATATTGTCCCAATAAATCACATATGTGTCAAATAATAATTCTAAAAACACTTGGTCAGGATAAAGTTTGACTGAGACTTATTGAAGGTTTACTAATGATAAAATTAGTTAATTGAAGTAAATATAATCACTTATTTATTAGCTTAAGTTATATTTAAGATTTGCAAGCTATAAAATTGAGTTGAATCGAACAATTAATACTTCTAGTTATATTATATTGATAAAAATATTATTTTGATGAAACAAGTTTAAGTCAAACAACAATTTTAAAAGCACTTGATCAAGATGAAATTTCAATGAGACTTGAAATTATGTTAAATTCGATATAATTAGTTAATCCAAATTAACAAGATATAGTCACTTATTTATTGAAATTATATTTGAATATAAGTAGAGTTTAAAAATTGAATCGGATCAAACAATTAACACGCCTAATTACACTAGATTAGTATTGCTATAACTACATTTCAACTCGTGATAAAAAATAATTATTAACTATGAAATTTATCAAAATATTAATTTTGTGGTTATATTATTTTGTTATGACAAATAATTATAGCTATATGAAGACCATTATTACCACAACTTTTTAGTACTCGGGAAAAAATATTTATTTAATTATAATAGTTTATTTTAAATAACTCTTTTATGGCTAAAACATTACTATTGATATAGCATGTTTCAATACGTGGAAAAAATTAATATATGACTATATCATTTAATTATTGCTATTTGCTACATTTTATTTTATTTTGTAACTTGAGGCAAAATAATTTATTTAATTAGAATATTTTGTTTCAAATAGTTTATTATGGCTAAAGTGCTACTATTACCACAAGAAGTTTCAACTCATAGCAAAAAACTACTAATTGGGTACGAAATTTTACTATAGCAGAAAAGGCGTGGATATATATCATTTAACTATTGCGTCAAGTTTTTATATTTTGAAGCAATAATATTTATTTAGCTACAATATTTTGTTTCAAATAATTTATTGTGGCTAAAGTGCTACTATTACTACAATAAGTTTCAACTCGTAGCAAAAAGCTACTATTCGCTTTGAAGTTTTATTATAGCAGAAAAGACGTGGCTATATCATTTAACTATTGTCACATGTTTTTATAATTTGAAACAATAATATTTATTTAGCTACAATATTTTGTTTCAAATAGTTTATTGTGGCTAAAAGGTTACTATTGCTACAATAACTTTTATGTCGTAACAAAAACTTATGATCAGTTATAAAGTTTTATTGTAGCAACAAAATTGTAGCTATTTAGCCAATTATTGCCTCGAGTATTAATAATCGTAGCAAAAATGAAGAATTGGCTTTGTCAATTAGATTTTCGTGGCTAAGAAAATTTACGAGTTAGTAGATATCTACAGAAGTCAAATTTGTGTGGCTATTATGATGTAATTGCTACGAATTTTATATTCATAGCTTAAATTTTGTAGCTATAGATACTGTCACACCCCTTTTTGCGCATGGCGGCGGAAGGGTTTTTCCAATTTAAGTGACGGTATTGATTTAGGGATTATTTTTAATTTTCAGAGTCACCACTTGGAATTGAGTTATGGTGTTCCAAGTCACCTTTTTGTTTAATCCCTAATCATAAGGAAATGACTCTTTATTTGGTCTGCGAATCAGAAATTTGGGTAAGGAATTTTGTTGACCGAGGGGAAGGTATTAGGCATCCCTCGAATCCCGTGGTTCTAGCACGGTCGCTTTTATTGACTTATACTTATCTTGATGTATTTTTTGGATAATTTGTGTCTATATGCCATGGTTTGCTTATTTTTAATTGTTGAATTTTTATTAGTCTTAAACCGGATGCATAACTGTATTATCGGTCTTGACATTTGGAGACATAACTGTCTTCCCCTCTCGAGTTCATCACACCTCATAATCTCAATTTACACTTCTTGGTTTGAATTAACAAAATTAATTATTAAAATAATTTGGTCAAGGTGTGTAACCGCATCCTTGAATTTATTAAGTATCTCAAAAAGATGTGGAACCACATTCTTAATTGAGATGAAATTTAATTATTATTACTCATATAATGTATAATAGAGCCTACTAAATACCTATGATTATACTAAAATAGTCTAAAAATAGATAGAGACATCAAAATATTATAGTGTTCAAAATTTTCCTATATTTCAATTACCCCCACTCGGCTTACTAAATTTAATTATGTTGAATCTTATCATCTTGACGCAATTATGCTTCCAGATATTAACAAAACAGAGCATGGTTAATTTATATATATACTTTTTACTATTCTAAATCTAAATAATAAATTTGAATAAAACAAACATATGAATTAAAATCACGCTTCAACTAATGATTAATGACACATGTTGACCTATTTTATTAACAATAAAGTAAAAAATAAATAAAAAAATCTTAAGATAAATTTTTTATTTTTTGTAAGTTATTAAACCAAATCTAATAATATAATTAATGAACCCATAAAAAGCCTTTTTTAGAGAAAAGATTAAAAAAAAAAAAAAACTTTAGTATTTATACTAAATTTAAACTAATATTATCTACATGTCATATAGAATAACAGAAACACTTTGTTTTAGATAACTTTTGTACTTTTCTTTTTTTTTGCACATTTTGTTTTATTAATTTTATATTATTTTTCTTTCATTCTACTTCTCTCTTCTTCTTTTTTTATTTTTTGTTCTCAGTAAGTTTTTTTTTTGTTTTTTAACGTTCTGTATCATTTTTTTTTTTTGTTTTTGTTTATTTACATTCTGTTTTTCTTCTTTGCTTTTTATTTTTAATTTTTTGTTGTGCTATGTTTTTGTTTCTTTTTTTTTCTTTTGTTTCATTATTTTTTTTTGTTGTTCTTTTTTTAAATATTTTTTATAATATTTTTTTGACATTCTGTACATTTTGTTTTAATTTTTTTTTATCTATTTTAATTCAATTCGTTTTCTTCTCCTCATCCTAACAAGTTTATTATTATTATTTTTGTTAGAACCCTAAATATCAAGACAACACACATATTATAGCATAAAACATGACTTAATACTTTTCTAAATACGATCAAACAAAGAATTCATTCAAATTAGTAAGACACAAACATAAAAAACTTTTATAATTAATTAAGGAAAAAGAGCGAGAAATGGACTCTTAAGCATGTAAGAAATACTCACATGTCATATAGCATGTTCGAATATATTTCAGTACACAATATTAATAATATTAATAGATTGAACACATACGAAATCTGAACAACTTCAATATATTGAAATTAATTCTTGCACAATAATGACATAAAATTATGCAAAAAATAAAATACAAATAAATGTTACCTCTTGTGAAAATTAGTTAACGAGAAGAAAGAACAAATAATCAGGAGCCACTAACTTGAAACCGCGAAAACAGATTTCCAGATCTTCAATCACAATGTGAGAAAGTACAATGTATGTATTGCTTTTTAATTAATGCCTATATCTTTGTGTGTGCCTTTTTTGTGTGTCTATCCTTTCTTTTTTTTTACTGTACGTATGTGTCCTATATATATAGGATAGGTTTTTTTCTTTTTTTGCAGATTTTTTGGTACGTGTGTGTGGGGGTCTCTTTTTGTTATTGACTTTTTCTTCCTTTAGTCATGTGAAGTGGGAGTGTAGAGAATTGTGGGAAAGTGGGAGTGTGGGGGTGTATGGTATTGTTGTTGTTTATTTATTTATTTATTTTAAAAAGCAGCAAAGTGTTTTTGCTCTTCTTTTCCTTTTATTTTCTTACGTGTAGTATGTTTTTGGGTAGGTATAGGAGTGGGGTAGGTTTGTTAGATTAATTAGGTTATTTTTTATTTTAATTTTAGTTTTATTCTACTTTTAAAAGAATAATAACTAACTACAAATAATAAATTATAATAACATATAAACTAATTATTTAAAATTAATAAAAATCTAAGAAAAAGTCAACTAGCTATATATATAAATAATACTAGCTTATTTATAAAAACTTAATTTCAAATATAGATTTTTTGTAATCTTTCATTTCTTTTAAACAATTGACAATAAAACTTACCTTAAAAAGTGATTCTATTTTGTTGTTTTCAAATCTTTTAAAATAAACTTAATAAAAATAAGAGAAAGTCAAAATATTTAATTTATATTTATAAAATATTTCAGCTCTAAAAATGGTGTAAAATTTTAAGTTCGGTCAAAAATTACGTGTCTACAGATACATTGTGTTGTAGTGAGCATTTTAGGCCTGGTTTCAAATTTAGATTAAGACATCATTACACGTTTTAGCACTTGTTTTCAAAAAAGCCTTTTTTTAGGGCTAATTTCGGGGCGCGGCATATTAAAAATGCTTCGCGACGTAAATTAAAGACGTAGATTCATAGGGTGTAACAACGATAATAAAAAATATATAATTTGAAGCAAATACCTTTACACACTCTCTGTGTCCGACTTTGAGAAGGCTGACAAGTTGAAGATACTCCCTAGATTGATTAGAAGATACTCGAAGAACTATTGTGTTCCTTTACCGTTTTCTTATCTAAAGTTTTGTTACATAAATGTCCCATGTCTTTTTCAATAATGACATGTGACATATGAGAAAGCTACATATTGAATATAATAGTAATGCAGCACGTTATAACGTTGATTTCGAAAAAATATTGGAATAAAATGATGAAAGTATTATATATTCTAGAAGGACATGTCATTGCGTCAGAGCTGATGTGAATGGAATTTATAAAGAGTTTTTGTAATGTAAAAGTCAATACGTTTGATTTCTTTTTGTAATAACAGTGGTGCTGAGATCAGATTGCATGCATCTTGGTTATCTTACACAGTTACAGGTCTGATGACAAGTTTGGAAGAATTTAGTAAAAATTATGAATTCAATGTATTATATTATTAGACATTGTTAATTTTGGATAGGGGTGACAATTGAATGGATTAAAATGGATCAAGACAATAAATAGGTCAAGACTTAATTTAATCCAGATTTGTTTGGGCCAAAATGGGTTTAATAGAATTATTAAATTTTATTTTATATGAGATTTTAATGAGGTTTTATTACTAACCAGCATTAAAAGCAAAGAAAATGAACTGTTATTTTAGTTTTATGATGACTATATTTAATGAACCGGCTGATTAATTTTCTGCCATGTGAGAAGAGAGAATAAAGCAAGTGAATAGTGCAATTAATGTCCGAGATTGCTATGATGTGGGACTAAGAGAAAAATATAGTACTCTTCTCTGTCCCTAATTATTTGTTCACTTTTGAATTGACACATCTATTAAAATAATTATTGATATAATGACTTTATCATTTTACCTCTACTAATTATGAAGGGGATGAATTAAAAACTTAAGATTTTCAAGAAGTTCTACATTTTTCAAAGTAATTAATTGAGGGTATAATATGTAAAAAAAATTGTAATTTCTTAATTTGTCAAAATAGACAAGTAATTAAGGACAACTAAAAAAAAAAAGTGGATAAATAATTAGGAACTGGATACCTAAAATATTCTTCTTCTTCTTTCTATTTTAAGAAAAAATCGTTTTTTTAAATAATTGTAGCATTCAGATTAGTACATTAGTAAAAAAATAATATTAGGTGGCTATTTCTATTAAAAAAAATAAAAATTGAATTGGTGTAAAAAGAAAAAATATATATAATTGTTTCAGATAAAAAAATTAGGAAGCTTAATTTCCACTAATTCATTGAGAATTTGTTTTTTCAGCATACATTTTTACGTGGACCTAATTCGATGGAAAAAGAATATTCTAAAGCACAATTATTTTTACATTTACGGCGGAAAAAACATTTGTTACTCGTAAAGGCAATATGATTAGAAAATTTGAAGGTGTACATGCATGAAGGTTGAAATGAATTGAAAATATTAACGAAGTTCCTAATTTAAGTGTTTTTTTTTATTGAGCAAGACACCCAAGTGAATTGGATGACCATTTCTTTATAAACTACTCATGTTCTTTAGTTCTTTCATTACAACCTTAGATATGTCATTTAGTCTTTTTTTTTGGTGTGCAATTAATGTATCTTATTTATTGGTAATCGAGATATCAAACTTTCAATTTATATTTTGGAGTTAATCTAGCATTGATTAAACAAAGTTTTTCATTCTTGTTTATATGAATTGAAACAACTAATCTACAACGTTGGAAGCACGAACGCTCTTATACTAGTTTATATATTAAATAGGAGTAGATCATTCACCTCATACATGATAAATTTTAAGAAAAGAAGTTATAACATGACATATTATAAAATATATATATTAAACTCATAAAGTTTAATATTCTTTAAACATAGATAATGAAAAATCTATCGTACTCAAAACAAGAATGAGTGCAAACATCAAATATTTGTATTACATAAAACCCAAATATTACATTAATTAAAATACACATTCATTTTGCTGATATACGTTGCTTCATAGATGCTTCCTTTATCCTTCATTTCCTTATCCCTCTGCACAAATTAAAACATTATTCATTAGTGCCAAAAAAACATTCAACTTACTATTTACATAGGGGTAATTAACTTTTTTTCTTCTATACAATTAATTAATTAATTAAGTTTTTTCAATTTTCAATATATTGTGGAATCGTCTTAACCTTTGATTCCTCCATTATTTGTATTACATGTATTTTATATGAGTTAATTTGTATTGTTTGATCCTAAGTTAATCTTGATGCATGCTAACTTAAATTTTTATTGATGATGTGATCTTTTAACCATCGTGTCTTCAAGAATAGCTTATTGGAGATATTTCTCTCTGGTTTTTTTTCAGTATCTTAAAAGGTCAGTTAATCTTGAGAATTTATTTAATAAAGTTATTAAATTTTATTTTATATCAACAAAATACTCAATTTAGACATTATATTAATTAAATCACTCGATCAAATTTAGATTACTTTTTACCCCATAAATTAAAGATAATTGTGATTGTAGCCCGCGGTAGAAACAAACATTGAATTTTGGGGTATCTATTAAACTGTTTGAGATATTAACAAATTTATCTAGTAAAATCATTAAACTTTAATGAATATTAATATTAGTAAAAATCTTCAGTAAAATAGACATGCTCTCAAAACGGGGATGAAAACCGGTTCGGTCATTTTGGTTACTGGACCGGATTTTACCTTGTATGGTTGTGTACTTTTCAGAGATATTGAGGTTACAAAACGGGGATGAAAATCGGTTCGGTTATTTTGGTTACTGGACCGGGTTTTGCCTTGTGAGGTTGTGTACTTTGCAGAGATATTGAGGATACAAAACGGGGATGAAAACCTGTTAGGCTATTTTGGTTACTGGATCGGGTTTTGCCTTGTGAGGTTGTGTACTTTGCAGAGATATTGAGGGTACAAACGGGGATGAAAACCAGTTCGGTTATTTTGGTTACTGGACTGGGTTTTGCCTTGTGAGGGTGTGTACTTTGCAGAGATATTGAGGGTACAAAACGGGGATGAAAACCGGTTCGGTTATTTTGGTTACTGGACCGGGTTTTGCCTTGTGAGGTTGTGTACTTTGCAGAGATATTGAGGGTACAAAATGGGGATGAAAACCGGTTCGGTTATTTTGGTTATTGGACCGGGTTTTGCCTTGTGAGGTTGTGTACTTTGCAGAGATATCGAGGGTACAAAACGGGTATGAAAACCGGTTCGGTCATTTTGGTTACGGGACCGGGTTTTGCCTTGTATGGTTGTGTACTTTTCAGAGATATTGAGGTTACAAAACGGGGATGAAAACCGGTTCGGTTATTTGAGCTACTAGACCGGGTTTTTAGGATTAATTACCTATGAATTTTAAGGGCCTTGTTAGTTAGACATCCTCAAATGAGACGCGGATGGATGAGTTTATGGCCGGTGGCGGTGGTGGTGGAGGATATTAGCAAAGTAAAATCATTAAACTTTAACGAATAATATTAACACTTGTAAGCCATTAATTAATTACCTGTGAATTTTGACGGCCTAGTTAGTTAAAGACGTCTTCATCAAGAGAGATGTGGATGGATGAGCTGTTTATGACCGGTCCCGGAGGAGCTTCATGCTCATTGGCACGGAGGCGGCGTATAAAAATGCGCAAACACCACCATAGAAATGAAACTATGGTTACAATAGTACTTAAAATCAAGGCAAATTTGAGAGCGAAGTTAATTGTAATGTAGGTGTTTATGTTGAAATCCATGATAAAGCTTAGTTATGAGAGTCCAAAAACAACTATGGTTTTATAGAGGTTTAAGAGAATTAATATTAGGCGTAAGTGGAATATGCAGTACTTTAGGGTGCTAAATCAACCTTAATATTTCCTATTTATTATATATCTTTTTTTTTATAATCTACTTTTTTAAAGATTCGAAAGTCATTACAATAAAAATATTTTAAAAAAAGATACCTAATAATCTTTAAAACCAAGAATTCAATTTTCTGAAGGCACTGGTTGCATAGGTCAAAGAAATACACTCATGACTCATCCTAGAGTGAGTATCATGTTAACTTTGCACATGCTGAGAGTTGGCAAATAAACTATTTATATGTTTATTTTCGTCCCTTAAATATTTTCTTTATTTTCGGGTCAATTGGAATCGAGGGAGGGAGATCCTTAACTGTCTTTTAATTATATGAGATGATATTCAATTGGATTGTTAAGTTATTTTGTGTGTCTCATATTAGTTGATCGTCTTATTAAAAATAGTTGTCACATATTAGTCGTCTACCACCTTACGATATTACCCTTGCAATTTTATTTTTTTTGAAAGTGTTCACATTTGTTTGTAAAATTCCTAAGAAGTTTTTTAAAGGGTGAATTAATTCATTAAAAATAGAGAAATAAAATTGAACATGAATTGTAGTAGAGTAGTCGTTAATATAAGTCGTTTGTTGGTCAAAATCATTAGTAAAAGAAGAAACTTATAGATCCGCTTTTTGTCAAAGTGGGTCCCTAAGTAGTGGATTTTGTTTGGAGTTAAAGTTGCTTTTTGGGTGCTTTTTGGTTTGGTTACAGTAAATTGTAGTAGTTTTGTGATCGGAAGTTTTGTTCACCTCATCTTCATTTACTTTTGGTGGTAGTGTTTCTAATTAAAAAATTAAAACTTTAAGAGGTAGGTCATCTCTGTGATATCCTTCAGCTAGAACTATAATCAATCACCCTTGATAGGAAGAGCCAAGCAACCAAAAAAAAAAATTACATATGTTCCTGCAATGCTAGCATTTAAGATTAGTCAAAAGCAAGCAATTACAATTTAATTAATTGGCTGATCCCAAAATGAATTGAAAAAATTTATTGTACAACACTGTATAATATAGTAATTATTTCTTTATATTATGTGCAAAGTGTTCACCTCCAACAATCAATCCAGAGTTTCAACTTGCTTCTTGTTTATATATATGTCCCAACTATGTGGGATATCAAGAGTTCAAACAAGAAACTGCATTGTGGTGCTTAGAGAATTAAAAAAAAATT